ATGTATGTATGTATGTATGTATGTATGTATGTATGTATGTATGTATGATTTATGTATGTAAATGTAGGTGTGTGAAGCACGACTTGAGGCGAGACTGAAGAGTCTTGGCACTGGTTCCCAATGCTCCACACCGGGTCTCCTCAAAGAAGGTCCAAAACTCGTTGAAGGTCACCTGCTCATTTTCATGATGCGGTGACAGTCCATGTGCTGCTTTGCTGCTTGGTGACTTGGTCGCCAAGCAAACCTGCCCTGAACGCCTAGTCCAGCAGTTTTCACATCATACGGCATTGATCTATCCATCCAAACAGGACACCTGCAGTTCCAACCCAAGCATACATTGCAAAGCTCTCGGTTCCGCATCTAAAAACACCAAGGACTCGCTAGCTTGTGGGAATCGCCTTCTCTGGATCCACGCAAGGAATTCGTGCCACGAAGTTGGAAGGGAGGCACCTGACGAATCCCCAGCAGGTCGACTTAACGCTCAACGAAGCTCTTCGTTCAAACGAAGAGCGGGTCAAGTCGACGTAATGCAGCAAACATGTCTACACATTCCTCTGTGTTTTTTTTTTCAGTCGCTTGTTCCAACCCAAAACCCAAAACATCCCAAACCGTAAAGCCATAATATAGTAGTTATTGATAGTTATTGTATTATATTGTAATATATCAATATATAAAACAAATGTAAACTATAGTAACTATAGTCATCGTTTTAGCCTCAATCATGCCATCACTTTTGGTAAGTGCAAGACATGAACATACAGCATCGTTGACAAGTGTTTGTAATTTCAAACAAATTAAAAACCTCTGAAACATCTTATCATCTTATATTTCCTTATCCTTCAATCCTTCCCACCGCGAATGTCGCCACCACAAACAACAACAACAACAACAACAACAACAACTCAAACCCTCCGGTCGGCGGCGAAGAACGTCGCCTCACGAACTCGCCCTCCAAGTTCCACGTGGTGTCCAGTTGCTGCGGCGATGAACGCGGTCGGTTGGCGCGGATCGGATCCGGCATTCTCCGGAAGCAAGTGGGTGCTGTAGCAACAACAGAAGCGGATGCATGATGAATATGAGAAAGCGGACCATCGGTGGGTTGGGTGCGGTCGAGGTGCCTGGAACTTGAATGTCATCTGCAAGCAGTGTCTCAGTTTGCACTATGAAGTCACAACACGATAACCGTGGTCCTAGAGCATCAACAAATCACAACATCGCAGCTGATGTGCATATGTGCGACGGTCAAAACTCCTTCTGTGTGACGGTAAGGTCATGGGATGTCATGGGTATCGCCTTCAAGGGTGGTATCGCTATACACAGCGCCAGCAACTTTTTTGACTTGTCGCCGTTTGGTGGGAGTAGTAGTCGTAGTAGCAGCAGCAGCAGCAGTAGTAGCAGCAGCAGTAGGACCAGCAGCAGCAGAGAGGAGGAGAACTAGCAGTAGCAGCAGCAGCAGCAGTAGTAGTAGTAGTAGCGTCGTAGTAAGTAGTAGAAGTAGCCTGGCGGTGTGCAGATGGTCACCTAACTGGATTTCGCGTATCGCTTGGACATCGCAAGGGGTATCGCCGAGAGCAGCTAGACAATTCGGAAAGGTCAAGGATGTCATCTATCTTCCTTATTGTCTATCCCATCCAATACGATCCCATCCAACCTGATCTAATTCAAGCTAGGTATCTACCGATCCTTGGGTAAGGAAACCGGCTGCGGTTCACACAGCATTGTTGCAAATCACTGATGATGGTATCGCCATGGTATCAGCTCTTCAATGGTGGTATCGCTACTCACATGTTTTCATGGTTTATGATACCTCAAGGCGGCTGCCCTATTAAAATCATCATCGTGTGCTTGACCCTTGCACATACGATTGTCGTTGCTATGGCGCAGCAAACTCCCCTCAAGGAGATCTGAAACAAGCCATGCAGCCACTCTTGCTGTCACCCTCACTCTATTGGCTCCATTGCAAAGGTGTCTAGCGAATGTGGGCTAGTAATTGTGTCTATTAAAGAGTCTATTATATAATTCTAATATAAGTCTTCAATCATGGTCATAATCGTGGTCATTGATCTGTAATGTGCTGTGCTGATAAAAGCTGGAAAATTATAGATATAGATGATGATAAATCAAACAAGATCATGGCATCTCCCTAAAGTCGACCTATTCGTGTTATTGATTTTGCATGATTTTGCAATCGTTTGCCCATTGATGCCCTCCGAAAATAAGAGGCATCTGATGCCTCTCTGTATCTCTCTGTCTCTTCATCGATGTCGCGCCTGCAAGACCTGCTCAATCTGTGCGGTAGATAGCCCATGGCCCTGCAGGCTGGATCGATCGTAAAACAGGGCAAGGCCATGGGTGTGGCCCATGATATGATGCTGATATCTGACCGACTGGTTGACGAGGTTGTTTCGCTACATGGTGGACCAGGCCTCCAGGTGTTGAACCATTTTCATCTTGCTGTGGGTCCCCTATGACTCCGCCGAAAACGTGAGAAACTCCACGACCATCGGTGAAGCCACTCCTCGACGCTTAGCCCGACCAAAAAATGGGGCCACTCCGCGCGCGCGGAACGACCGGCACCCGGTGCCGTGAAGGAACTCGTCACCCTCCGAGACCTCGGTGAAGAGCATCCACGCGGACTCGAATTCCGGCATTCTCCGGAGCAAGTTCCGCCGGCCGCGCTCCACCTGGGCGCGGGGCCAGCTGGCGCGTCGTTCACCGCGGGGAGTGGTGGATGAACGCCCTGCTGGGAGAGGCCCTTGGGGCGGCCCTTGGGGTCGGCCCTGGTACATGTCGTGGGGGTCATGATGAAACCCTAAAGTGTCTGGAAGGTCACACTCCAATGCATGTAGGCGCATGCTGCATTGGTACATATTAGCTGTTACCAGGACCAGTCAATATAGCATTTATAGCTCAAAGTGTACAGTATCAAATTATGCAGATCGTGCAATCATGAACTTGCTTGAGACTGTAGAAGCAATTGGTTCACTTCCGAAGAGTGGAACTCCCCTGGGGCGCTGGCTGCCGCAAGCTCCTGCAGGTGCTGGTACCTCGAAAGCACGAGTACTTGTGACATTACACTCATTGGTCTCTCAGTGAAGACGTGCTCCTCGTGGCCTTGCCACCGGTCCGCCTGTCGGATCCCCGTCCTCCACCGGTCCCGTGGGATCACATCGATCGGCGCACATGCTGTCGCGATGATCCGATGTATGCAGCGGGTGGTTGCGCAGCAGGTACTGAGCCAACCTTGGACGATCGGCCGGCGTCCGCGGAGGGAGACGAGCGAAAGCGCTGCGGATTGATATGCATAACACGAAAAGCATGGATATATTCAAGGGGGAAAGGCCCAAAGAACCGCTTTATAATTGACAACACAATGAGAAAACCATGGACAAGTAAGACCAAGCAAAAGGACTCAATATACTCTTTAAGGATCTTCAAGGCCCCCCCCGTTCCAAAGATCCTGTCGGGTGTCCTGATGGCGCTCACCAGGGCGCTCACCAGGTCAGTGGGTTGAACTTCTGCCGCGAGGAGCCCGAGCCCTCGCCACCAGTGGCCAGCTTGTCCACGTGCCTCAGAAAGCTGGCCACGGACACCGGTGCCGAGTCCGGCGAAGCCATGGAGAACACGCCATGAGTGACGACTTGGAGAGCACGCCATGCGTGGATTTTTTGGGGAATCAAATTGGGAAGAAATGCTGAAAGGGCTGCAAGATCGTGCTCGTTCAAGTGGCTAGCTGTTGGCAGGAGTTCAATATAGTTCAATAATTGCAATCAGGACTTGACCCTATCATTCCCAATCTGTGCAATCCAAAAATGTGCATGTCGGTCTGTAGGGGGCTGAAGCTGAGGCTAGCAATGCGGAATGCGAGAACGCCAAATGCAAAAAAAACAGCACACCGACAGTCAATTCAACCAGCATATGCTCAAAGCAAATATGTTGGTACACATGCCGCATGCCTGTGCTGAGAAGAGCGCTTGCAGGCACCACGGCATGAAAATGCAAGACTGTATCACTGTATCCAACGACTAACGATACTTGTATCACAAACTATAACTTACAGTAGGGGCAACATTGGCAACACAAATGGGACAACATGAGCACCACGCCAAAAAAGAAATCCGTTAAGTCTCTATCTAGAGCTGACAACATGCCTAGTGAATACTGACTGCTTTTAAATGCGTTTAACATATCATATTGTGTACGAGAGGACTCAAGGCCTCTGGACTGAGAAGCAAACCTGCTCAGAGCATCAAGGCCTTGAAGAAGAACAGGCATAACCTCAGCTGCGCGGAGAAATTCAAATGTCGTACACCTTATTAACGCCCCCATTCGTCTTCAGCGGCCATTCTTCCGTCCCAACACTTGCTGTGGATTTGTCAACTGTCAAATTCTTGGCATGTCTCCTGTGAACCAACCGAACCAACCGAACCAAACACCAACACCTTCGAACAAGCGTTCGACTCCATTCTCCATGAGGTAGACGTCGAAGTCACCTTCAGCCTGGCAGTCGGGTGGCGTGCCACCTTCCGACCGGGTAGGCCGTAGATGCACACTTAGAAAAACCAATGATCTCTTAGAATAATGCTCTTAAGACATCAAATGAAATATATTCTTAGTCTATTGTACTTATGAACTTGTTTTTGGGGTGTCTTTCTATTATTTACTGTATTGGAATTACTAAATTATGTCTGCTGTCTCTAGGCACCTAACCCACTAAAACAAATAATCACTAGCATTCAGTTATATATCTGGATGGTTATTACATGTTATTACGTCTCTTTATATCTTTTTTCCTTCTTGTGATCGCTCGCCTGTGCGTCCTTTCTTTTGGGGGGGACGGGCCATGTTCCGGCCACAGCCCCATGGAGTTTTTGTTGGGCTTACTCTCTGCAAGAGGAACGAGCCACTACTGGGGCATCTTTGGACTGGTGATATCCAACCGATTCAAGTCGGTCTTAGCCCGGTCCAAAAATGCATGAAGGCCAGCCAGATTGGTGTACCTCACGAAGAATCTGAGCCTGGCCTCTGCCATAGGCAAGAGCAAGGACATGAAGTACTTGTCATTCAGCTTGAGCTCCTTAAAGGCCTCATGAGACCGGTGCGATCCCCGAATCGGCCGCATGCTTCAGCGGACTGCATGTGATGGGCGTCATAGCAGCCTCTGCCGCCTAAAGTGGGTATGTCCGACTTTGTTGACAACCGCAGCCAGCGTAGAGTGGTGTAGAGTGGTGAGCTTCGGCCGAGGTTTCAGTTGCATTTGGGGATGCACACCAACAAGTGTTCGTTGTTTGCATAGGAAGAGTCAAAGCAAAATTGCCAGGTTCCAGAGGAAAATAGTCTTCCACGGGTCAATTTTCAGGTTCTATGTTAGTTTGTGGGGGAGTAGTACCAAGCGACCACGTGCTAGCCTAAACATCCACCCGTTTGCAAAATTCGAAGGAATCCCACCTGTCGCAGTCAAAACATAAACGTGGGATGTGCAAAACATCTTCATCAAAAGCATGGCACCTGCTCTTGAGCTCGTGAAGTCGGCATGAGCTCTCTTCGCCTGCCCAATCCGGACAGAAACGGCTAAAAACCGGTCACAACGGCTCAACCGGTCACGGTAGGGTGTCCCGTGTCCCTTCAAATCATTCAGACTGCTAATCCAGTGGGAGATGCACATGTCACTAGTGGTCACACGGAGCCGACTTTGCTTCAGCACTTCAATACACGACTTAACTGTAATTATCCGGGGCAAAAGCGAGTAGGCACATGATAAAACCGGCTTCAACTTACCAGATTGCCTGGAGGCAAACAAGGAACAACACCCTCGGGTGCGGAGACAACGTTCAGACTGCGTCTTGTGTGCTTGAATATGTTTTGATAGTCGACTCTTCTTTGGAAGCTGCCGGGGGCAACTAAAATGCTCTAAGAATCCCTTGAGATGCGCTACCAATGCCAGATCAGTGTCGTGATGCCATGGACATCCATGGCCCATGATTTGTGATCATGCGTGCTACAGTACTTGCAGTCTTGATTCAGTTTTCAGCCCAAGCATGGTTTATCAACATCCTCTTGAGCCGAAAGCAGGGCTTGACTGCGCAGGCTTGCCAGGCAATATCAACTAAGACACTGAGGGAGAGCTACGGGGAGGGAAGTTGATTAAGAACATGAGCAAGGAAAACAGTGGTAGAAAACAAAAGAAACAAACAAGAAACATGACCCAAACGCTTGCCTTGATGAAGCAGTGGGAACCAGGTTTGACAGACCAAATGAAGTGGATCGGGTGGATTGCGGATGACAGACCACCCGCAGTCTGTTAGAGTACACTCCAGCTACTCTTGGGCCCTTGGGGGCTTCGTCCACAACGAAGCGTCTTGAACCTGATTGGAATCTCACATGGCCGCGCGCGAAGCTTTTTGGCTTCCACCACGAGAATCGCATCCTGAGAACCATTGCAGGCCCTTGTCTGTAGTGAAGGACTGCTAATTGCCTTAGACTTTAGGAGCAGAACATGCGTACATTCCGAGCTGCTTGCATAGGCCAATTCCATTGCAAAAACCGTGCATGTCGGATGCGCCTGGTGAGAAGTCTGGCGTGAAACGCTGCAGCGATCCGTTGAATTCAGCGCTTCGCACTGGTTTTTCGTGCAGCCGAGCTTCCGGTGAAACCAAATCGCGTCACCGGCGGACCGGAGCGCGGTGTGAGTTTGGTCCGTCCAGCAGTTTGTCCAGCCATCGTGTGGGAAGGATTCTGGAATGCATTTTGTTTTGTTGAATGTTGGACTGTGAGCAGTAAGCGCCAACATTTCTTGTTGTTTCAAAAGAAGATCTGAGATCTATGTATAGTCTTACTTTATAACAATATCTGTTAATTGTTTGATAACAATATTGTTTCTTTTTAACCGTTTATGTTTATCATATTGGTACTTTTTACCTCAGCCACTCCGCAAGTAACATCGACAAACGTGGGAAATCTCCGAAATGGCTCAAAGAGCGCCACTTCAGCTGCGGTTGGCAGTCACCTGGGCGCGCGGTTGGCTTCTGCTTCAGACATTGGATCCGACGGGATGAAATGGGTCACACACACGACATGGGTCTCACACAGTGCATGAGACTTCTGTTGTCAGAATTGCAGGTGGTTATTGCCAACCATGAGTCACTTAACAAGGATGTCCCACATCACCTTGACAGTAGACTTGTTGGCAAACAAGTGCCAGCATCTCCTATCACACTCACATACGAAAGAGAATGCACACTGCGAATCCAAATCTGAACCAGCATACACAAACGTGCCGTCTCCGCCGTCTCTGACGTCAGTGTGTCCGCTTTCGGAAGACGGAGTTCATTGGAGGTACACATGTCATCCTCCAATTCCCGCTAAGCATCTGGCCGTCGTGTAAATGTGACCACCTTTCTTCCGGAAGAGGTTGATCTCTGCCTCCGGAAGTATCGGGATCGGGATCGAAACACCAACTCTAATGTTCTGCTGGTTGAGGCAGGTTGACATGTAAGGAAGCATCAATCATGCCTAGATTGATTGAGTGGGTCCAAATTGGTAGATCACTGTAGATCATGATCACAAATCCAAACAAAGCAAGTCATATAAGTTACCTTTCTAAGCATACCGGCACAAGACAAACTAACAACAAAAATGTACAAAATGTAAGACAACTTGTAAGACAGTAATACATTCATAGTAATACATCATATAAATGCATCAAAGAACCGACCTATGGGCGAAATGAACAAATCTCCACCTTCAAGGTGGCGATCTCTTTGGATTGAAGCGACAGCAGGTCTTTGCAGCGGTCTCTCTCCTGAGTGACGACCGAACGGTCTCTGCAGGTCAAGCGTCACGAGCTGTGGGAAAAAGAACACTAGCGATGGCCTCCAACCTACCAGCAATCGACTCCAACCAGCAATGACCTCTAACCTACTAGCGATGGCCTCCAACCTACTAGCGATGGCCTCCAACACTACTAACGATGGCCTCCAACCTACCAGCAATGGCCTCCAACCTACTAGCGATGCCCTCCAACCCACCAGCAATTGCCTCCAACCTACTAGCAATGGCCTCCAACCTACACAGAGCTACAGAGCTGCTTTGTTCAGGGAACCATTTGAGACAACTGCGCCATCCAGCTGGTACTCCGGCAGATGCTCTTGGTCCGAGATGCCATCTCACGCAGCTCATTCAGGGGCTCATTGTCATTCACGGTGACCTAGGACAAAACAGTCGGGCTGTTCACAAGCGGAAACGAGAATCACATCAGTACCACCTCAAGCTGCTCGTTGAATTCGGGGTCGTTGTTGTTTCCTTGTTTCTCAACGGCCAGGCTTACTTTTCCGGTGTGAAGTACTTGTTGAGAAGATGTTCCACCATGCAAGCTACTGTCTTTTTGCACCTGCATTGACACCCAGGTCATAAGTTCAACCCTCAAAATGGTCAACCCCCTTTTAGACCTCTTTGCCAATCAGCAAGGTCACCCAACTGTACTAACTACATGTCACTACTAAGCTTGGAAACACCAACGCCACGTCCATCCAGTACAACAGCTGCAACAGGCCACTGCAGTGAAGCACATGAACCGAACGGTAAGCTGCACACGTTAGCTATCCGTGCGTTGAGGGCAGCATCCAGCTGCATCTGCGAATAGCCTCAAATGTACCAGTCTTTTGAACAACAGCCTGAATGTAAAGAATGAAACACCGATGTGGGCGCGGAGATCAATGACATTCATTCAAGCAGCTGAAGTACTAGCAGCCGCTAATTAGCTTGTAGATGTTTATAGTTACTTAGGCTGATTCGTTTAATCTCGCCTGTCTAGTGACTAGTTTAGTGAGTCAAGCGTGCCAAGTAGCCCATACTGACAATTTGCTCCATGAGTGAAGTATTGTCACAGGTGATCTTGGTCAGCTCCTTCTTCTGCTTCTCCATTCTGGCCCGACGTTGTATGACAGAAGCCCGCGGGGAAGGGACGTGGGAGTATCCCCAAAGAGGCTTCAGGATAGAATCAGCTTGGGTTGAGCCGGCACAAAGAGTCATAAAGAAATAAACGTCCGATCCCTAGACAAAAATTGGCAAGCAACACCCATCATTCATATTGTGATCATTTGGATGGCTTATGGTGGCTGGACGCAAAGGCAAACTGCGCGTCATGCTACACAACTACTCCAGTTTACAGTTCCCAGTTTTTACAACCCTCCAACCTGCTATGCCGTCATATGTAGTTACATCTAGTCACCATTCTCCAATGTCACATACTAGTATTGTGAGTCCCACATTGAGTCAGTTCGTCAAACGAGTGCCGGCAGACCTAAGGTCTACTCCGACGCCGGTGCTCGGATGCATCGCCGAATCTCCCTGTTCGCCCAATCGCCGCTGTTCGCCCCTTGGTGGTCCTCTTCTGCCACTCGGCAATGCGGCGCCGGTGCTCGGCTTCAGCTTGCAAGACTTTCTCTTGCAGCTCCTGAAGGATGCGATGTGAATGATGCACATGTGATGCCAAAAAGGTGAGGTGGCCGTGATTTGCGGCGTGTCGGCGGTACGGTGGACACCGTGACGAGCTGATCGAGCTGATCGAGGAAAAGGAGTTGTCTCTCTAACGAAAAAAAGGAAGAGAGAGCACCATCTTGGCAAAAGGACCAAGCCTGGCACCAATGATTTTGGACTGTCTTGGACTCAGAATCAATCCATGAAATCCGGTCCAAAGAAACGGACTTGTGGACCCGATGGGTCCGGATGGACCACTTGCGGATAGATCTGCAGTCATGTCTCTTTCTGGTCGCTGCCTGTTTCTTTTTTTCAGAAGGTCAATTCCCCCCAAAAACATATGCAGTATAATG